TATCGGCACCTGGTACTGAATAACAAAGGGAGTATCGGCACCTGGTACTGAATAACAAAGGGAGTATCGGCACCTGGTACTGAATAACAAAGGGAGTATCAACACCCGGTACTGAATAACAAAGGGAGTATCGGCACCTGGTACTGAATAACAAAGGGAGTATCAACACCCGTTACTGAATAACAAAGGACTACTAGCACCAGTTTTTCTTTACTTCAATCACTGAATGAAACTGAAATGTTTTCTTAGGTACAACTCAAGCTTTAACTTACAGAATCTGTTTCTTGAACTAAGCTCCTGATGTTTCTATTTTAATCAGTCCAAAAACAGTGTGAACTAGTTATTAAGTGACTAAACAGCCTAATTCGGGAAAAAAACACCTGTTCTTTTTGGGGAAATGTAACTCTGCTAGATTTAAATGCTAGAAGCTGCCTCCAATCGAGAACATGTCTAGAAGCAAAAAATTAAAAATGACACATTCTCTTTGCTACATGCCTTCCATAACATAACCTGTAAAACACACAACATAATACTGTATATTTCTTAAGAAGAGGAAGGAATAATATCCAAATTTTTTTTTTTCATTTTTTTGTATGACATTCAACCAAAATATCTTGCCAAAAACATTATGTGCAACACATGGCTGCTTTAAAAAGCATGTTTTAAACACGGGGAAGTGAAAAGCAGATATGACACATAGTTTCATGGTTACATTACATGGCTGAAAGTGTCCAGACCAAGCCTGCCTGACATCTCATTCTGGAACTTAAGAGCGTAAATGTGATATAGGTCCTCACTTTGTGGCTGTAACAGCTTCTGCTCTTCTAGATGGTGATGAACATTGTTGGCAGGATTTCCGTCCATTGACGAGAAAAGCATTAGTGAGCTTGGTTAAAACAGGAAGCACAGAAATGTCATAGCACACTGTAATGTTATGGTTTCTTTGCACTGTTTAAGCCCAGCCTCAGCACACCTGAAGGTCCTTGTGCAAGACCCTTAACCCCCAGCTCCCTGGGTGCTACAACAGGTGGCTGCTCTTCAAAGCCAGCCTGCTGTCATCTACAGAGAGCAAGTTGGAGGAGGTCTAAAGAGAATTTCAACCAATAAAAAGTATCAATTATTATTATAATATGGTCATAATTGCACTTCCACAGAAAACCACGTTCTTCCAAATAGTTCTGCTTGAATTATTTTCATGGACAATTTCTGATAAAGTTTGTTTTTGGCGATTGCATTCTTCATTATACACATCAGAAATGTGCCACTTAATTAACCAGTTACACTAATTAGAAGGATACTTTTGGCAATACAATGTTCATCTGAGCCCACTGGTACCAGCAATGCAGCTGTTAATTCTACTAAATATATTTGGAAATGCTTGAGCGTTTTACTCCACAATATCTTTGTCATACCCAAAGTCTTATTAGGATAAGTGAGACTTTTTAAAAACAAATAATGATAGAATACTTAGTTCAGATGGTAGGTTGAGAATTGAATGTCGAATCTTGATCATATAACTCATTTTTATTACGCTCCTCCTGAATATTACCTCCAGTTTTCAAGGATGTGCGAAGACACTTGTTGAAATCCCGTGAAACGAAGCAGTAGAGCAGAGGATCCACGCAGCAGTTGGCACCAGCAAAAATCCAACAGATGTAATAAGCTGTCTCCAACTTCACGAGTAGTTTGCACTCATTCGGAAAGAACATCTTGACCACAACAGCTATGGTGCGAACCAGGGCAATCGGCATGAAGCAGAAGCCAAAAATGGCCAGGCAGATGGCCACCGTCTTGTGTGATTTGGATTTGATGGCTCGTCCTTTCTTCGTGGTAGTGTTGATGCGAGACACAGAGCTGGCCAAAAGGATGTAACACACCACAGTCACCGCGAATGGCACAAGAAACCCCAGGATAAGGATGAATAGGTTCACCGTGAAGTAGACTTGCATGTATTCATTTTGGTGAATGCTAAGGCAAAGAGTTTGGTTGCCAACGTTACTGGTGTTAAACAAACCAAAGATGGCTGTCCCACTAGCCAGTAATAACAACCAGATTCCACCACAAAGTTTGTGAACGAATTTCACTTGTTTCATAGGTGACGTTTTCTTGTATTGGACCACAACTATATAGCGATGGACGCTAATGAGCATGAGGAACAGAATGCTGCCATACAAATGCATGGTAAGCAGGGCGATCTTCGCCTTACAGAGGAAGCTGCCAAAAGTCCAGTGATTGCTTTTGATGAAGTAGGTTGCCATCAAAGGAGCTGCTGGGGTGATAATAGCATCACTCAGTGCCAGGTGGAACTGCAAGACGTTACTAGAAGTCCAGTGAGAAATACGATAGCAGAAGACCCATAAACTGAAGCTGTTCAGTACAAAGCCCACTAGAAAGACCAGGCAGAGCAATACAGTGATGGTGAGGTGCTGAGGTTCCGGACTGCAGTATTCTAGGTGGCTGAGGTTGACAGCAACAGTGTTCAGGGGCTCCACAGAACAGCTGTTCATCTTGAAAGTTATTTCATACGGAGTCCTGATCACCTTCAGGGGATTGAAAAGTTCATGTCATTATTGACAAAAAAAAAAGTTAAAATGCCAAGATTTGAACAAAATGGTAAACTCGATTGAAGCATAAGTGCGTGGATGATCTAGCTATCAAGATCTTAATTTGCACCAAAAAACATTCCACTCTTACTGCAAATCTGAGAACCTGATGATTATTTAAATTTCATTCAAAATAGAAGATGGTAATGCAACAAAGCAGACAATTTCTTCTGGCTCTTAACACATAGAGGGAAAAAAACTGAGAATAACAATAAAATGCTTATTCTCCTCCAAAACTCTTTATTACCATGAAATGTTGGCTTGAAGCATAAAAGCATAATTGGGAGATGGACAGGTGAGTACGAACAGTACTGCGCTTCATTAGTGGTGTTATAAAACTTAAAGGCAACGCAACTGACATTTGTTTTTAATTAAACGGATATTAATTTTATAATAAAAATTCTTAAATCTTAAAACTAGAACAAAAAACAATCATCCTTTCTGCTGAAATAGTAAAGGAACATTAATGTGCAAAAAGGTTTAATTTAATTAGCACCTAGAACCATTTTTGGAACTACAAGCTAAACTGAAATCTAATACATTACACATTTTCTAATGTATGCAAAAACAAGCTCAGTGATCAGTTCCAAATGCAGAAAACAAGACAGTACTGGGCCTCTATTTAATACATCTCTTTATGTCATTTGTTTTAGGACAATTGTTATCTACTTACATACGGTTTTATCTCCCCAGACATCCAGTAAGATTTACTGATAAAGAAACAGCTCTTTTATAACGTCTGACTACAGCTAACAATAAAACTGAAAGCAGGAACTGACTGAGTGGTTAAACCCATTAAGTGTACAATCTGATACACTAAGCAGATACTGTATAACACCTGCTGAATATTGTGTACTGTAGGTCCCTCCTTCCATCAAGGTGTCCTGCAGTATCTGGCACCAAGACATTAGCAGCAGATCCTTTAAGTTCTGTAAGCTGTGAGGTGGAGCCTCCGTGGATCAGGCTTGTTTGTCCAGCACATGCTACAGATGCTCGATCAGACTGAGATCTGGGGAATTTGGAGGTCAAGTCAACACCCTGAACTCTTTTTCATGTTCCTCAAACTATTCCTGAACAATTTTTGAAGTGAGGCAGGACACATAATCCTGCTGAAATAGGTCACTGCCATCGAGGACCATGAAGGGGTATATCTGGTCTGCAACAATGTTAGTGGGTTTAGTGACCATGAGAATGAGTCCGATAAGCAACAGCTAAAAATGAAACCAAAACGAGAAATGACCCCAGTGGTCTCATCACAAACCCTATAAGTCCTCAAGCAAATATATCTTAGTAAAACGACCTCTGTGAAAATGCAAATAAGATGCAAAAAACATGCAACCCAGGAGGTGAGACAGTAGAGCTGCCCATTAAGCCGCCACACCGACAGCTGTTTTTGCAGATGTTAACTCACTACTCCCCAAAGCTTTTTTCTAACTCTGTGGCCACATCTATTAATAACCTTAAGGCTATATAAGGTGATATATGCTGTACGCTGCTCTAATGCACTTGTCCATAACGCCCTTAGGAAGTTAACATGTGTCTTCTCACAATCATGTTATCAATTTAAAAAATTATAATTTATTTTATAAAATTATACTTCTTTTTATCCACTCTCGAAGTAGTTCACGTGTTTCCAGGGATTCTGAAATCTCGTGGACGCGCGTTATTGTCTCGTGGCTACTAGGGTGACCAGATAATCCATGTCAGGGAGGACACTCTGAGCTAGGACAGGAATTGTAAATTACCATTTCAATTAAACGGACCTGGATTT